TGTATGAGAAGATAGCTGAATTTTTAGAAAAGGGGACTTTCAGGGAAGACAATGAAAACTGAAGAGGATTAAGTCACAGTTAAGTTTAAAATCAGATTTTATTCTTACAAAATTGGAGTAGTACAAAATATATTTATAGTAATGCCAAATGAGAGAAGGAGCCAGTTTTGAGGGAGTTTATATGGTAGATGTAACTGTACATAAGCATAGTATCTGACCAAAGCAGCTTATCTAACAGATATCTGATCCTTTGCTCTCTTTTTTGATTAAAAAAAAAAATATGTATTGGGCCCTCCCTGATGGTGCAGCGGGTTAAAGCACTGCACTGAGAAGCTAAAGCCACCTCTGCATGAGTTCGATTCCCGCCTGCCCCGGAGGTGACCACATGGCGTGGCAGACCTCTCCTGACCCGCCCGCTGCTCCCCTCAGCAGTGTACTTTGTAGATCTGCCTGTTCTGCTCCCCGCTCTGTCTCTGATGAAGCCTCTCACCACCCCTGAGCCTCTGGCCTGTACCCCAGTTCTGTATGTACAAATAAAATATAAAATCTTTAAAAAAATACATATTTTGGGATTCAAAGAGCAATAAAAACTTATATAAAGTTATTGAGGTCTTTAAATTGTTTTGGTTTTATCCAGTAAGGCATGGGATCTATTTAGATGTTGATTATTTTTAAGCAACTTCTATTAAATGATCTAATTTTAGGGGGCTAATTCTCCTCTAGTGTATAGAGTATACTTAAAAGAATATTTTAATCATCTACATATTACTGAAATGAGTAGGTTGAGGGTTAAAGCCCTTGATGGTAAAATTCACCTCAAAATCTGAAAAATGGTGGTAATTCTTTGGAACTGTGCCATCACGAATTAATACACAATTGAAAAACTAATTATTTTTAACATACTTATAGTGGCCATATTTTAAAAAATTACTGAATATTCTATGATGTGAAAATGCTAAAATTTGCTTACCCATTCTCTTGTTGATATACCTCAAGATCTTTCCAATTTTTCCTCAATTATAAATAAGGCTAGCATACACATTTTTGAGATTTAAAAAAAAAAGTTTTATTTATGCATACAGAACTGGGGTACAAGCCAGAGGTGCAGGGGTGGTGAGAGGATTCACCAGAGACAGAGTGGGGAGCAGAATAGAAATCAACAAAGTACACTGCTGAGGGGAGCAGCGGGCGGGGCAGGGGAGGAATGCCCGCCATGTGGATCACCTCATCACCTCCCGGGCAGGGATCGAACTCATGCCGAGGCTTTAGCTTCTTAGTGCTGTGCTTGACCTGCTGTGCCACCAGGAAGGGTCCACATTTTTGAGATTTTTGAGTCAGACTGTTACAGGGCAAGGAGCGGGGTCCCCCAGAACCCCACACCTGCTGGTTCTACCTTATCAATACAAAATATATAAGACCTTTAATGAAGAGGAATTAATACAATTAGTAAACAATGCAGAAAAGATAAAGAATATCGTTTCTAAATCAAGCACCCAGAGTTACCCATCCCCTCATGGATAAAAGTCCACCCAGTAGGGACTGGCCCAAAGCAAGGCCTGAAAGCCCATCACAGGTCTAAAGCACCTTTTAACAGGAATCCATAGAAAAGGGTCAGAAATGGCCAGACAAGTCTGGGAGAAAAAGAGCAAAATCAAAATCAAAATGAAAGCTGCCAGTTGTTAACCTCCACACAGGTCTCTCACCCATATCTGTTTCAACCAGAGCCAGACCAAAAAACGAGGACAGCTTCTCCACATGTTTCTCTACTCCACTTGCCTCCTCCAGGTCTCCTTCCTGCTTCTCCTCTTGCTTCCTTCTTCTTCAGTCTCTTCTCCAGATTCTTTTCTTTGCTTAGCGCCACTCTCCTTTGGGTCGGGCAAAAAACCTAAAAACTTCCCCTTTTCTGGGATCCACCCTGTTACAATACTGTTGTGTTTGTAGTAGGTAAATCCTGGAAACAACCCAAATGCCCAAAACTAGATGAATCAAGATGAGCTACTCAGCAATCATAAAAGATCACCAAACCATTTCCCAAGGGGGTTTACGTGTTTTATAACCTTATCAATAATGTGGGAGAATAGTCTAGCCAACATGTAGTTTTGTTAGTCTTTTTAACCTTAGTCATTTACATGGCTATGAACTGGCATGTATAGTAGTTCTAATTTGCAATTTTTTTTTTAACTTTCTTTAGTTTATTTTACATAGATCTTTGAAATGAAGTAGGGTTTGTTTGTTTTTAAAGATATATTTCATCTATTTATTTAGTTTTGCTTTATTTTATTTATATATCTATTTAAATTATCGGTCATTTTACAACAATGTGTAATTCTCCCCTCCTCCACCTATCATCACCGTTGCTCCCCTACATTCCTCCCTCCTTCTGATCCCTCTCTGTCCCCCTCCCCTGTAGGATCTCTCTGGTTTACAATAGTTTGTGTTGTTGTGTTTTGTATTGTAATAACAATATACTTTTTTCACTCCTGTCTTATTTGGTTTTCTTAAATTCCTTCTAAAAATGGAACCATTTGATATTTTTCTTTTTCCTTCTGACTAAATTTCACTGAGCATAATCCCTTCTGGCTCCATCCATGGTGCTGCGAATAGCATGAGCTTATCTTTTTTGATTGCTGAGTAGTGTTCCATACACCCCCCCCCCCATCTTGAACCATGTAGTTTTGGGCATTTGGATTGTTTCCAGGATTTGCCTGTTGTAAGTAGTTCTGCAATAAACATAGGGGTGCATATATCTTTTTGAATTAGTGTTTTTGTGTCCTTTGGGTAGATCCCTAGGAGTGGAATTGCTGGGTTGTATGGTAGCTTCATTTTTTAGTAGTCTGAAGAATCTCCATACAGTTTTCCATAGTAGTTGGACTAGTTTGCATTCCCACCAGCAGTGTCTAATTTGCATTTCTTTTATGACAAGTAATGTTGAACATTTTGTAATATAATTATTGAGCATTTATATATTTTACTGTGTTAAGTATCTGTTCAAGACTTTTCCCCACTACACAAAACACCTTGATTTTATTGAGTTACAGATATATTTATGGCTAGAATTTGTGTGTATCAAAGTATTATCTTCTAGTCTGTGGGTTTTCTGTTCATTTTCTCAATAGCAATTTTGAGTAACCACAAGCTTATAATCTTTATCAATTCTGTTTTTCTTCCTGCTACAGTATATTTTCTATGTCCTAGGAAATCTACTTCAAAATCAGAAAGCTGTTCTTCATATAAAAAATACATTCTGGCCCTCCCTGGTGGCGCAGCAGGTTAAAGTGCAGCACTACAAGCAAACTGCAGCTGCTTCAGTGCAAATTCAATCTCCAGCCAGGGAGGTGACCCACATGGCACAACAGACCTCTCCTGCCTAGTCCTCTGCTCCCCTCAGCAGTGTACTTCCACAGTATGCCTGTTCTGCTCCCCATTCTGACTCTAGTGAATCTTCTCACCTCTGTACCTCTGGCCTATAACTACCCAATTCTATATGAATAAAGAAGTAAATCTTAAAAAAAAAACTATAAAAATGTGCATTCTATTTGTATAGCTTTATAGATATTAATTTTTATGTTTCAGTGTATAATTCATTTTGAATTAGTTTCTGTGTTTATTAACATGAGGCAAAATTTGGAGCTCATTTTCCCTTATCAATATCTAGTTACTGGGCATTGATATTTTTTAGAAGGGATTGACCTTTGATATGAAAACTCAAAATACAATAACTTAAACCTGACTGCCAGTTGCATTGTGCTGTAAAGTTATTTGGTTAATCAATACATATTTTTGCTTGAGACATAGTTGTAACAGCGGGCCTATTTCCCAGACTAAAACTTAATGACTGATTTTTGTTGAACATGAAAAGTAAGGAAACATCCAAAAACTTGTTCAGTGGATGAAAATAACAACACAAAAAATTCATGCAAGACTTTCTATTCCCTCATGAATAAAATAATAGCAGCAACAACACAAAGCCTGGTATGGACTTGTGGCTTTATGATGTGTTTCAGTGTCTACAATCACAGCTTTATTTATGTTGCATGTTATACCTTTTCAGTTAAAATACTAAAAAAGCTACATATTCATAGAAGCATGCTAGTTTCAAAATATATATAATGTAGAATGGTATGAGATGCAAGGCTGCTTGGCTATAGTAAATGAAATCTACCTCAAAGATTTTTAAGCAAAATAGGAATTTGGTAGGTTATATAATTTGACAAGTCCAAGAGTTGAGATTGGTTGGACCAGAAATGTCTAAAAATTTCTTATGCAAAAAAAAAAAAAAAAAAATCAAAGATTAAAACATTTTTGGTAAAATTTTTTGAAAATTTTAGAAAATCTTATTTTATTTTAGAAAAACTATTAGTTGTAGTGCTAAGAAGGATAGACTTAAGTATGTACTCTTAAAAGTCCTAGGCAGGACAAATTACTTAAATAGAATTGAGATTTTTGTCATAAATAGTATTAATGCAATTTGTATCAGTTTTCCAGGAAATTACCTGTATTTTAAAATAAGATCCCGAAAGGACTCTGATTTGCTAATTCGACTTTCAAATATTTTCTTTCTTCATTTAAATTGCAAACTAACCACTAATCATTCAGTTTGGCTTAGCAGGCATTTATTTAGAATTTTTTTGAAAAACAAGGAAATGTAAGAGAGTTGTGCAAATGACCTCTGGGGACCAGGTTAGAGGGCTCAAATGTTCACTTCTCTGAGGTTATCATTGTCATCCTTGTTTGCTTTGCCATTTAGAGGCATGCATGTCTCTCTTTGTGCTGTTTGCAAAAAGCTGAGCTGGTTGGAAAACAGAGATGGACTGCATTTCCATCGGTGTTTTGGTCTGTGATCATTCGTTTCCCAGCGCTGCCGTGTGCTCAGTCAGGGCTGCACGGAACGTTCGGCTTGTTTCTCGGGGCTCTGCAGACTGACTGCTGATATAAGTAGCTGTTGATAGAGGCTGCCAAGGACCCCTATTTCTTTCCATTTTGCCTGATCCTCTTTTTACCGGAAAACACAGTAGCTGAAGCCGCACGTAGACTTTTTCCTCTTTGCCTGCCCCCCACCCGCTTCCCCCTCCCTAGACCTCGCTGGGCTTTGACGTCATGTGTGCTCCTTTCGGTTGCCATAGCAACCCCATTCCCCAAGCCCTCTGTCCGTCTCCTCTGGTAGGTTCCACAATGGTACTGGCAGCATCACGCTGCACAATGGTTTCCAGGCAGTGAAAGAGGGTGATTCAGCAAGCCACTCTTCTTCTTTTTTTAAAGCCTCCCTTTTCTTTTTATTTTTATGGAGGTGGGTGGTGCTTGTTTTACACTTACCCTTTTCTTTTCCTTTTTGCCTTTTACAATTTTTCTTTTTTCTCCTCACCCCTCAATTCCTAGGGGCTTTGAGTGACTTTAAGACTAGGTTTTCTTGGAAATCACCTGCCCATCATTCATTTTAAACAATTTCTCTATCTCCAAAGATTCTGTTCCTTATTGCAGTTTGGAATGTGGTAACGAAAAACAAGTAGGGAGGATTTCTGGGGCAAACACTGCTGGATGAGGATCGTAGTTCTCAAGCACGGAATGGTAGGTGGTTTTTGCTCATTCTGGGTTCTAACTTGTTTTTTTGGAGGGTGGGGTGATGTCTATTGATTGCTCCTGGTGGAACGGGATAGAGAGCTTGGGGTGGGGGGACAGATGGGGTAGGAAGCAGGTTAATGAAGTGAACTACCTCTGAGGCAGAAAGCCACCAGCCTCTCTCTCTGTGCCAAGCATCTCTCTCCAGACTTGGGCGTGTGGAAACATTTCTGTTCAGTGTAAGGGTCGGCACACTGGGAGGGAGCATTTTTATTGTGATCAGGGGATTTTTTAGACCAATGCAGAGCTAGAGAGAGAGAGAGAGAGATCTGTTCTTGTTAGAAGTGCTGACCTCAGTTCCCATATCTCAGAAACGCTCTGGGTGCCTTAAAAAAAATTAAAAACCATGCCTTTAAGTATGCATTTATGTTTACATCTCTGAGAGGTGTAAAAAATACATTTTGGGAGATATGTTTATGTATTTTGGTAGGAACTAGGGTTTATATATATTTAGTGGCAAAACTAATGGCATTACTTTTGCTGAGACACTTGAGATCAAATTTGGACCAGAGAAAGGAACACAGACTAGGGGTCATATTAGAGATGAGAGGAAACACTGGCACTGCAGTCTCATAAGTGGGGGTCCCTTTAAGAAAGTGATCTAGTCAGAGCAGGCAGCCTTTTTTTTTTTTTTAATGGCATGGTTCCCAGGTATTCAGTGTTGGGATACTGTGTCCCCTGGAGATGTCAGACCTCCTTTGGAAAAAAAAATAAAGACAAATCATCAGAAATGAGCACAGCAATATATTTATCAGAAGTGATGCATTTATATCTGCAGCAAGATAAATATGATTTATTGGAAAATCCTCAAGTATATCAAGGTTAGAGAAAATTCAAGAAAATTGCACGTGTATATACATATAGAAACTACACTGAAATCTAAAGATTAGGCTTAGATTTTACCCCCTTAAAGACATAACTTCCAGGGTACAGCAGTGTCACCAGAAAAAAATACTCACTCCCATGGCAGTGCACTCTGAGGCCATCACAAGGTTGTTTACATGGACTGTCTTTGCTGCAGAGGCTCAGGGTGTCTGTATAGAAGCCCTGTTTGCTTTTGGTGTGTTGACGATAACTTTTAGGAGCAAATTGGAAAGAAGCAGGCAAAGTCAGACGGGTCAGGCCACGGCTCAGAATGTGGGAAAATGGATGTAAGTGACCAGGCATCGCCAGCCCAAGGTCCAGTTTTCTCCTCTACCCCTGGTCTGCTTGTTGTTGGATCCCAGAATATGGCACAGAATATGGATCAATGCATTAAAAATGGTTGCAGGAGTGACCGTTGCTCTTAGAGAGGCTGCTATAAATTTTCTACTTTAGGTGGCCATTTATATTGTGATGGTAGATAGCAATGCTCCTGAATGAGCTCACGGGCTTCTGACTCCACTTGGGAACCCTGAAATTAGATTTCAGGGGTCGGACAGTTTTGCAATGGCAGCTTTGCTACCTCTGGTATGGATTCTCTTCTGTACCTTGTTCCACTCCTAAATTTGACATAAAGTACCAGGTTAGTTATTTTTTTTTAATCACATAAAACAAGTTGGACTTTGTCCCCCTGTCAACAGGATGAGTAAATCAGATGACAAAAGGTACTATGACCTTAGCTATTAAAGAGACTTCATGTTTTCTCATTTTTTCTCACATCACTTCCTTCTGTTATTGCAAAGTATCTTTAATTTGATGGGATCTTGGTGTTACAAAATCTTCATAGTTTTGATAAAAAGGATTCTTGATGATGGATGGGGCAGGAAAAATTATATGTAGAGTGGAAAAATCAAATGCCCCCAGCTTCCTGCACGCTTGCTTCAGAACAGCATCTCTGTTGGGAGGAGTGTGTTTGCCATGCTGGAAAGGGATGTTTATGAACAAATCCCAAAGGGACTGAATATGTTTTTGCTGTCATTGTCTGGTACGTCTGTAACTGTTAGTATTTAATGGTTTCATAGGGTGAAATCAGTATTTTTCAAGGTTAGAATGAACTGAAAATTGATCATGAATGCTATAGAATGTATGTATAGTCTAAGATTACAGGAAAATTATTGGGATTACCCTTCTTAGGTTATTCTAAGACATAAGCAAAAGGAATCTGCTTAACTTAATTGTAAAAGCCTTCCATGTGTAAAGGCAAAAATCTCCCATATTAAAAGGTTTTTTTAAAAGTTTTGTTGCAATTTTATGTAAATTAATTTATTCTTTGGATATAATCCTAGTGAAAAGTCTTTTAATGCTGAAGATAAAAGACAAAGACAAATTGTTTTTTTTTCTTATTTGTTGGGGTTTAGAGAGGTTGGGTGAGAAAGAGGACAGTTACTTTCCCTTCCTGCCCCAGTTTTGACTTTCACTTATATTTATAGCTAAGGGGACTTTCCCTGGAATGGTGTGTTCAATTTCATAACTGTTTCGTTACTTATGAGAATAATGGATTCAAAGCAGAAAGACTTCCTTCAACTAGAATAAGAGGTTAAACACATTGGCATTTTAAGTTCTTTCTCCACTGCCCCTATTATTTTCTCCTGTAATCTGATTTAAGGTTTTGGTTGGACATTGCAACACTTATGCAAAAAGAGATATAGAGTGTCCAGTAATAGCACAAATGAATACAAAGCTATGTTTGCTGCAAGCCCAGCATCTCCTTCCTATCCCGCACATGTTTTTTACTCCTTCCTCTGAGGACCAGGGACTTGTGGACAAAGTTAGACCTAGGGGCTCCTGGGGAGAGGTTTATTGGTAAAGAAATAGCCTATCTGATTTTTAGCATACTAGCTGTATTTACTGCATTACATAAGTCTGAGATGAGACGCTGCTGCTAATTCAGAAAAGGTAATGCTGCACATCGGTTGTTTGAAAGAAAAAGAGCGTGTAATTTATAAATGGAGCTTGGATTTTCAGAATTTACTAAGCTTTTCATAGCATAGTTGTCAGGTTTTGACTAAAGAGTCTTTCAATTTAAGTTATTTTATCCTTATGAGAAAATCAAGACAAAGATGGGGGGAAAGTGAAAAATTTGTACATATTTATAGGTGGTCTTCCCCTCCTAATATTTAATGGCGTGAAGCTTCATTTCTCATTGAGAAACTTGGTAGAAATTCTAATGGAAACACTAAGTCTAAATTGAAATCTTTAAATGGAAAGAAATGCTTCAAGTTTGAAAAGTATCCCTCAAGTATTTGATTATTTTGGATAACAGATTTTCCTAGTGGAAGTTTTAGATCCTTAACAGAACAATGCAGCCTTGATCTTTTTTTTTTTTTAAATCTCTGGAGACTATTAGAGGTAAATCCTACAAAGTTAAAAAACTGATGCTCCTATGAATGGAAATAAAAGATTTGAATGGGGAAAAAATGACTAAAGCTTCTTTAGACTGAAACATTACTAACTCACAGAGGCTTTGAAACTCTGTATGGTGTGCAGGTATAAAGTTCCCCTCTTTTGCAGACTGATCTGCATGATAATGAATAAGATTTTTATTAAACTGTGTGTGGGGTGGGGAAATGGGTGGGTGAGTTTGCATACATCTGTGTTAGAAAGTCAAGGAAAACAACCCAAACTCATTTAAGTACTAAAGATTCATTTCAGTTTCTTGCCTGGACATTATGTTTGCTTTCTGAAAATGAATTTCTTAAAGTACTAAATCTCTTCTTATACATTTGGAAATAAGATTGGAAAGTATTGATGGACTGTTAAGCTCTTAGGTCCTCTTGGTGGACAATATTTAGCCATTGCACATCATAGCACTTATTCAATATAGTAATTACCTATTCCTATGTTACCTGTACCAGATAATAATATTTGTAAGGGTCTGGCTGCATCTGGACATAGAGGATACAATATATTCCTTGAATGAATGTCTACCATGTACAGAGTTCTATGCTAAGGGTTATGAGTGAGAGAGATTGGGAAATGATGCCAGAGTTTCTGCCACTTGGTAACTCATAGTCATTCAGGGAGAACAGGTGAAATAATAAAGATCACATACAATCAAGGGCCTGTTTAATGTTTTCACAATAAATGCAGTAGTAATTGAAGAAATTTTCCTCCTGTGAAATGGCAGTCAGTGACACTGTTGGCCACCTTGAGATAGCTGGGTAGAGGGTAATAGTCAGGGAAGAGTTCCTAAGAGCAGATGAAGGCAGTAAGGGAACTCTTACTTGGAGCACAGAGGGAGTTTATTTTGGATATAGTGACCATGCTTTTCAAACTAGAAATCACAACTTATGGTGTAATAATAGGTAGAACATTGGAAACCACATAGGTCTAGAGAATCTGGTTCAATCTAATGGAAAAGTAACAACAACAATAATGAGTCAAAGTTGCAAACCTACTTTTGTAACTAGATCAGATTAAAGAAAAAATATACATGTCAGTCCCTTTCCAGTTTCAATCTGACTTCATCTTAGGTTGATTTTATTTTGTGTACTTCAGAGGGTTTTGAACCGCTCCTCTTTCTGTTGTCAGTACTTGTGCAGCCCATTGTTCCGATCATTTTCTATGAAAAGCAGAAATACCAACGAACATAGCAATGGAGATGCCCCAGTTGAAGCTGAGAAACAAGCCTTGTATCACAAAACCAAATACATCACCAAAGTGAGAATTACTAGTTGGACTTAAGTTCAGATATGAAAATATACAAATATTCTAATCTTGGTAACACCAAAGGTCTTATGCTTATGGTAAATTTGGATAGGGTGAGCTCCCTTGATATGCTTCATGTCTTACCTCTGTGTTCTGTTACCAATTGTCTCTGACAGTCCTTTGGTTTTGTTGAGGCAGGTGAAATTCCCATTTAAATGTTATAATCAAATTCTGTCTTTTTGTTTTGCTTTCAGGCTAGTGTGAGAAACACCAGTGGTAGGACCAGCTCAGATCTTCAGTATGGCAACGCATGCAAGAAGCTGTTGAATTAGACCCATTTCCTATAGATGAGAAACCATATAAGCAGTGGTGAGTTGCAAATTTTAAAATGTTCCTTAGCGAGAAGCATGTGCTCTGTTTAACCAGATTAAATATTGTATGTGGTTCAGTGTATGGATCTAAACAAAATTGCAATAACATGAATTTAAAAAGTGAAATCAAAGCACAGAATGCTTAACTGATGATGCAGGGCTGCTCAGGCCATAGCTGTAGTAAGAGGTCTCAAGGTACATGGGTACAGCATATAATGTGATGTTGCCACCGTGATAGCATCCTGTGTAAGATGGCTGTAAGAAACAATTTGACATAGCTGAATAGCAATGAGTATCCATATTTTCCAGTGGTTTTTATTATTTGCAACAGAATTCTGTATTTAACTGATTCATTCCCTCCAGCAGAAGAAGTGGTTCTCGTCAATACTATAATGTTCAGTTCCGTTCAGGAATGTACACACACACAAGCATGCATACATGTATGAAACATACATATTCCGAACAAGTGTATAAATACTACATATACATAAAAATATATACTATATATTAACATATAGATTGCTAGAAATAAGGGAAGAAAGATCATATCACAATTTTATGAATCTTAACTCATGGCAATTTTAGTCTATAAATTCTTTTGTTTAATAGAAGCAATATTAAAAATGGAGCTAGTTGTTCTGCCTAGTTGAGAGACCTTTTAAAACATTATTATTTTAGAAAAAATGCTAGCACACAAAGACAAAATATCTTTTTTAATCAAATATTTGATGTTTCATAGTCATCAGTCAATAATCAATAGACTCCAGCAGAGATGAACCAGTGATAATCTGTCAAATAACATTTTTGATAAATAGAGTATGACAGTGTTGCTTGTAAGACTCCAGAGGAAGCTGTTTTGAATGAGTGGTCAATATCTTCCTTTCATTTGCTTTGTGGTATATATAACTCTGGGAAATTAGCCTGCCCTGTAATTCATGTAAGCTTACACATGTAAGCTATATCTGTAGAATACTGAAGAAATGAGCTATTTACTTGCTTCAGAGGATTTTCATCATGATTTACTTATATTGAGGAAACATATAATAGTCACTATTTTTCAGCACTTAATAAACATGCATTAAGAATGCTTATTATAAACAGGAATCATGTAATTGACAACAAGCAACCATTTTTGATGTGAAATAGAGCTATCTTATTTGGTGATTTTTGGGTTATGAGGCATTCTTTGTGATGTAGAAGACATAGATTATATTGCCCTATCTTAAGCATGTATTCATTCAAGAAACATATATTAAGAATTGTGGTGTAGGGCCCTCCCCAGTGGCACAACAGGTTAAAGAACAGCATTATGAAGCTATCAGCAGCCACTGCAGCATAAGTTTGAACCCCAGACAGGGGGGTGACCCACCTGGCACGATAGACCTCTCCTGTCTTGTCTGCTGCTCCCCTCAGCAGTGTACTTTGTCAATCTGCCTGTTCTGCTCCCCACTCTGTCTCTGGTGAATCCTCTCACTCCCCCCGCTGTCTCTGGCCTGTACCACAGTTCTGTGCACATAAATAAATGAACTTTTAAAAAATTTTCAAATCAGTTGGGTGTATAATTGTACTCATAGAAACATTAATTTGCACTTTGCTGATTACTAATGAAGTAGAAACAGCTTTTCATTTTTTATTGTCATTTAATTTTCCTCTTTTTGTGAAGTGTCTGCTCAGGGTAGTTTCTTTATAAAATTCATCTTTCAAAATAATAGCTAACATTGAGTTCGTATTGTATCTCAGGCACTGTGCTAAGCACTTATATATTTTTTTCAGGATAAAATAAAAATATAAGCCATATAAAAATAAAAATAATTTGTGTTCCATATTAGATCTTCATGTAATCCTTATGATTTTACAGATAAGGAAACTCAGGTGCAGCGAGGCAAATCACTTGCTGATCAGCTCACAGAGTTGAGTGGACCTAATATTCAAGCCCAGCTTTTTTTTTTTTTAAAGATTTATTTATTTATGCATATACAACTGGGGTACAGGTCAGAGGTGCATTGCAGTGAGAGGATTCACCAGAGACAGAGCGGGGAGCAGAACAGGCAGACTGACAAAGTACACTGCTGAGGGGAGCAGAGGGTGGATCAGGAGAGGTCTGCCATGCCATGTGGGTCACCTCCGGGGTGGGGATCAAACCCATGCTAAAGTGGCTTTAGCTTCTTAGTGCTGCACTTTAACCCACTGCACCACCAGGAAGGGCCCCAAGCCCAGCTTTTTTGAGCTCAAGCATTTTTTAATTTCTTGGATAATGTTTGGAAGGGGATTAGATCAAGAGGCAGAGAGGCTATTTGAGGTACTATGGCAAGAACCCAGTTAAAATAATAATGACATTAACCAAGAATCACCCAGTAGGACAAAAGTGCTTGGCAACAAGACTCAGTAATGAAAATAGCATGTGCAGTAGAGGCAGGATTTAAAAACTCTCAAGTTTTAATATCTGCTGGCTAAGTACTTTCAATATGAGCCATACAATGTATATTTATATTCCAGATATTAAGGTAGGTTTTAAAAATGCATTTTATGATACCATGATCATAATAAAAGATGAATATAGTTCAGAGAGTCATAATGTTTAGGGTTAAAGAGACCACAGTATTAATTTGGGTCAACTCTTTATTATCTTAAACTGTGTGACCTGGGTGTAAAGGTGACAGGTGACTTGTTAAGGATCACATGTTACTCATGTCAGATTAGGAACAGACATTAGCACTGCAAAGAATGCAAAGAATAGCAACTTGTCTAATTTTTAAATTACTAAGTGAAAATGCAGTTAACCTACATTATCTCCTTTTTTTTCAAGTCAGTTTCTTTTGAATTTAATCTACTGTTATCGGCATAAATTAGACCTCATCATTGTTATCAGGCTTATTTAAAGTAGCATAGCATGTTATCTTCTTCCCCATTATTCTACAATAGAAGCCACCTGAATTTTTTTATCTGATTTTTAGTTGTTACCTCTTAACTGCTCTGCTAACTTGGATATGCTTCACTGCCCATGCAATAAATTTACTTTGCCTTAAAATATACCGTTCTGCTGTGTATCCCCATTTTAGGAATCAATGACTCCTCAAATTGTCTGGGAATAACAAAATGCGCTTCAGTTTCAATCACACACTCAATTGTTTCTTACCTTGTGATTTCCTTCATACGGTGTCTCCTGCCTATATTCACCCTATCTGTCTTTTTCTTAGTTAATCATTAGTGATCTTTGCTACTCAAAGATTTGGTCAGGTATCAACTGGAAGCTTGACAGAAATGCAAGATTGCAGTTCCTACACAGATCAACTGAATCAGAGTTTTCCCAACAAAATTTATATTATTCAAAGCTTCTGAGGTACTGTCTAGACTTACTTTAGACTATATTAGCTGTAATCTTCTTCCAAAATACTTCCTTGACTTTCCATTAGGCATCTAGATGTTTCTAGTGTTCTTAGAATATTCTATGGGAATCTCTATCACTGTATTACCATGTTTTACTAGCTGTTTATGTGTCTGTTTTTTCATCTTAGCCTATGAGAAATTTGAGCAAGCTTTAACAGTCATTGATTTTTCCCATGCCTATTATAGTGTCTGATACTTGGTAGCACTGCATAAACATTACTTTAAATATTGAGGAAGTAAACAAGAAAGAAAAATGATGGATATATATATAAATCAGGCCCTCCCTGGTGGCACAAGGGGTTAAAGCACAGATCACTATGAAGTGATCTGCAGCCATTGCAGCACAAATTCGATCCCCAGCCAGAAAGGTAATCCAAATGGTGCGGCGACCTCTCCTGA